GCCCCCCGCCCCCCGGACTTGGAGGGCCAATAGCATGTCACATCATAGCTCACCTTCCTCTCACTGCTCTGTCCACTGCTTCAGGCCCTTCATCAAATGCCACTGTCCTTTCTCATTAAATGAAATGTAAAACACTTATGTCCTGACTCTCAAGGTTCTAACATGACTCCGCCCCTTTTGGGTTCCCTTTAACCTTCACCTGCTCCCTATTCCCCATCCAGCTACTTTCTGCTACTCCCTCAAACTCCCCTATTCCTATCTCCAGCCGTCTCAGGCCATACTGCAAATGTGTGACACCTCCTAATTGAACACCTGCCAGCCACCCTCCTTCCCAAGACTAGTGCAGAGCCACCGGCTCTGTGACACATTCCCATCGCAAGACCTCTCTCCACCCTGTTTTGTTTTGAATTTGAAGAGCTCATGCCTTTACATTGTGCAGGAACTCTTACTTTTTCAGCCGTTTTTTTGGGCTGCACAGCACCATGCACACCTGCAGTACTATATGGTGGTAAGGTGGGTTCGGACAGCAGCCATTTCCAAGGCATTTGGTGATGGTATCAGTTTTAGAGGAAGAGCCACAGAATAGAGAGGTGCACTGTAACCTGGGCAAATTTTGGCTTGTCTCATGTGTACGTGCTGGCGGAGAGAGCTGGCTCCTGTGGTGCTCAGCTGAGTCCTAGGCTAACACACCTTACAGAACATCTCTAGCGTAAACTGCCACGAGCAAAAAGCTAAATCAAAAGGCAGTTCCAGAGTGAAGTGAAAAAACGGGCAGTCAACCAGTGAGCAAAAGTGGCTTAGAAGTTTGGAGTCCTGTTCTAGCCCTTAGTGGACATTTCTGCACAGTAAATAACTGCCACGCACTTTGGTGCAACTGGCCGTATTTGCATGTGCTGCTGTTGGGATAGGACTGCAATGCATTGACAGAGCAGGGTGGCTGCGAGGACTGAAGCAGCTAGGTTGCAGGTTAGGGACTAAGGTGCACTTGCAGAACAGTGCTGGGCAAGACTGTGTAGTACAAAGGGGAGGTCTTTAGTCATTGTGACCAGCCCCTTTTCCACAGAAATTCATGCAGAACTGCCAAAAAAAATTCCAAAGTTAAAAAGAAAATACAGACCCAATGAGGATGGAAAGCCAGGCAGCTGATGGCTCCGACTCTCTGTCCCATAAATCCATCATAGTATTTGATATTATTGATCAGCTCTCCATTCCCATTGTAGATCGCAGTGAACTGATTCATTGAGCCACTGGAAGGAAGAGAGAACATCATGTCCTCACCACATTCTGATAATACTATTCATTTCTACATAAAGGGTTTTCTACTCACTACTGCTGGGCTATGGAGACAGGAGTCATTTATAAAGCAAAAGTGTGTACCACGCGCTCTTATAAGCAAAGAGATTGGTTTTAATCCATGCTGCAGCAGCCTCACCACAGAGAGATTTACAGACAGGCTCGAACTGAGGATTTACCTGTTATGCTGTAAATTCAAGATGTACAATATAGAGAGTCCAGGAAAGTGCATGTTCACCTAAGGTGGTTCTCCCACAGCTACCATGGCACCGTGATCATGAAGTGCATGCTGGGGCCCCCCACTCAGCCCAGCCATACACCTGCTGCCTTTGGGTAGGGAGTCTGACACATTGAGAACTGGCAACACCCTGAACCATCACTCTGAGTCACCAGTGCAAAGGTTTCAATAACACACGAAAGGGTTAAAATACCTGAACTGCACACATGGGAATGAAGCGGCACTGGTCGTAGCAAGGGGAAAAAAGAGACATGAACGGTATTTGTAATGATGGATTTCTTCTCTCTTTGTTCCACAGAGGAGGTGGGCTGGGGTCAGAACCTACCATGCAAACAGATTGGCCTGTGGGTGAATGTCCAGGGCGGTCAGCCCTTTGACTATCTGAAGGACCTTCACAGACTCTGGCATCCTGGGGTCGAAGAAACGGACATCTCCATTCACGCTATCAACAGAGGAGGTTCACAACATTAGACTCTGTCCCACTGGAAGTGCAGCCTCGAAAGCCCCAGAGAAAAGGCCATTCACTTGCCTGTGAACAGACCACCACTACGCACGGCAGAGCCATAACTGGGCATTTTAGCACCCGGGGCGAGCAAGCCTACTTGCGCCCCCTACCGTTTTCTTCTGTCATTTCTCTGCCCCCGCGGCTTTGCGCCCTGGGCGGCTGCACTGCCCTGGTTATGGCGCTGACAGAAGAACTACACCCGAGGAGAGATTCAGCCCAGTACCACCTCTCCCGCTCTACGTCCAGCATTGTGACCGTATCCACCCCAGCATCATTTGTTTCCAGTAGGATCCGCAGTAGGCGAGGTGCTGTACGCACACAGAAAGGAAAGAACGTTCACTGTCCCCAAGACTGACTATTATCTTACCCCACCCCCATCGACATGATAAAGTGCTTTCGTTGGTATGTCGCGCAATACAACAAGCTGTGTATGAGGCCCCAGTTCCTTTTCCTCCTTCCAGTGTGACTACTCCATTCCAGCAGCAGGCAGTAATCTGAGGGGCTCCTATGCAACCGCTCAAGATGCCAGTTATTTGGACTCTGGTCCATAAGTCCCTTGCTGTTCAGAGTACTCTTTGGAGCAGGTATCAGCAAACGCTGATTAACAGCTTGTATCTTCTAAGGGTCGATCCAGGCAAAGCTACCAGTGCAGAACAGAACTGACCCTAGATAGGCCAACAGGGTATGGCAGCAACAAGGAAAAGATTGGCTCTGACCCAATGAAACAGACACCAGGTGATGAGATAAGCAAGATTTAAACTGAATAATAGCAGGTTCTAACTAGTATGAGGATGTCAGACTCCACTGGGTCTTATGCTACTGAGAGGCCCAGTGATAATCAACAGAGACAGCGATCCTGAACCAGCAGTACTTAGAAAGACACTGATCACCTTTAACACAATTGTTTCTGAACTGTGGTGCTTATGTAAAGATGATTGAACCTTCATAGAAAGTTCAGTCTGCACAAGCAGGGGCTGGAGTGTTTCAAGGAATTAGACCCAGCCCCAGACAATGGAGTTTTGAGATCAGCTGAAAATTTAAAAACTCGGTTGCTGATTATTCCTTAAGCAGAGGGATTATTAAAGCTAGATTACTTTACGGGCACAGGTGGCTCTCTATACCAGACATGCTGTTCCCCCTCCCCTCCCCTCCCCGCAATTGATGTATTTTCCCCACAATTAAGCACAATTAGGAAGTGAGTCTAAGGCACAGCTAGTGAGGCCTACCTCTTGCAATGCTCCATGAGTCTGTAAGGCTGCGATTGTGGAATAAGAATCCTTAAAGGGCTATTAGAGAATCGGACAATCTAATCATGGCCCTAGCGGTTAGATCAAAATGGCTGGACAAAGGACCACAGGACTATCTAGCCTAGGTGTCATAATCCCTTCAGCCATATGCGTGAGCTTCCCCTGGTGATTTGGTTACAATGGTCAATTCTAGGTTATAATCGCATTCTCTCGTGCTTTTTGATCCAGATGAGGGTCCTCTAGGATTCCGCTGGGTAATTATTGCCAGCATTGCCAACTTAGCGACTTTGTCACTAGATTTAGTGACTTTTTGGTTTCCCTAGCGAGAAAGTAAGTGTCCAACTGACCAGTGATAAATCTAGCGACGGTCACTGCCAATCACAGTGCCACTCAGAGAAAGACGTCACCAATATGTATAGTGACAAAATCATTCACAAACAGCTCAAGGGTGTTAATAAAATCTATTCCGTGCTCTTCTTACTATGTTCTGTTGCACCCCAAGTCAATGTCATTACGTCTCAATGGAGCGTGTCCTCGGAAGGAATCGCATCCCAGGGCTGCTTGGGCTGAGATCACTATAATTTGCAGGAGAGGAAATGAAATCTGTGGAGGCTAATTAAATACTTTGCTAAAGCCAGGCGCATGTTGGCAAGAGCAGCACATTTGCCAGGGCTTGTTTTTACCCAAATGTTCTTTCTCGCTACTCCGTAGTAGGCAGCACACCCTGTGATGCAGGGAAAGCCGGCTAATGAAGCGGGCTCGGCGGGGGAGGCAGGTTAGCCAGCGAGGAGAGCCGCA